TCGGAAGGACATCAACAAAAATTGAACAATTCAATATACAATCTGATTTCTTACATTATACATAAAAAAAGGGTTTTTCCAGATTTTCGTTCATAAACAACCCCTCAACATCAAAAAACAGATTTTAGAAAAAAAAAAAAAGAAACCTGTTTGCAGCAAGTCTGACGTTGAGATAGGCGGGGATAGGTGGCGACGAGACGACGGCGGCGTCGATTTGGCCGGATGGAAGACTATACCTTCAATTTTTTGTGGAAGAAGGGAGAGACAGTAGCGATGAAGAGAGTCGAAGAGAGGGAGTTTGCGTGCGTCGTTTTTTTCTTTAGGGCATATCAGTCAATTTTTTGAGTCAACTACTAATAATCAATGGACCGGGTAAGCTATTGGGTCAGTCAAAGCTGACCGAGTCAGCCACTTTTTGAGCTTACCAAACGGGCTGACTGGACCGAATCAGTCCAAAATTACTGACCGGACCAGTAAGCCTAAAATCAAACAGCCCCTTATTCTCTTAGTATATATATAATTGTTCTTTTACATTAATGTTTAGTTGGGGTTGATCCCTTAACCAATAATGAGAAGGGATTGTTACATAAATGGTATCAGATGGATATCTTACATTTCATACCATGGTTGGTGGTAACTTTTATAGATTGTTACATAAATGGTATCGGATGGAGATCTTACATTTAGTACCATGGTTGGTGGTAACTTTTAGTGCGAGGACTATGAGGCAGGTTTCCACGTTCATATGAAATAAAAAATCATCTGATGCAAAATGTGCAGCAATTGTATATCAGGTTTGTAGTTGTACAATTTTTATGTGCCTACTCGATCTTGACCATTCATATCAACATAATAATGAAACAAAAGCTCAGCAATCTATAATTACTATCATATCAAATATTTTTACATGATCCAAAATAAAAAAGATAGTATTCCAAAATGTCTACTTTAACTATTATTTTCTGAAAAAAAAAACCTTTAAACAAATTCACTCGTTGTATATATGTACTAGGGTTCGGATCCATCGATCAGGTTGCACCAGAAGGACCAGTTAGTAAAAAAGAAGCAATGCTTTCTGCAAGCATTAGCTTCTCAATGGTCACCTTCTCACCAAACCTATACGAGAAACAAAGTTGACCTTGTGACTCAGCGGAGCCCATCTGCACCGGGAAACACATCACCGCACTGCCACCCAGTGGATATGCATGATCATAGAGTTGTTTCAACGACTGGTGAACTTCTCCTATGTATCTATCCCCAAGCTTACGCTTACAATAGAGCTTAATTACGAGCATGGTGCCATGGTGTTGTAACCATGACTCAGTTATAGTGTAGTTCATGGTATTATGCCATGCTGGGTTGGTCTGGCCATGCTTGTCTACTGGAGTTCGCTTCTCCAGTGTCTTGTTACCCCCGATAAGTACCTATAATCAAATTTTTGGATTCAGATGGAGATTTTAGATATTAATTGTAAAACACTTCAATTACAGACCTCTGTCAGCATAAACGCCTAAGTGGACGCTAGGTTAGTAACCATGTATAATTAAGTTACTGTTGAAACTGGTTGATTAATTAGACTTTATAATATAAAAAACTAAAGATTAAATTTGAAGGAATAACTGATAAAGAAGTTTGTATGATGATGCGTGTGGATTAGTCTTCACCCCTTTTCTTTTTCTCTATTATTACTGCATTAAAATTATAACACATATATACGAAATGATAATTATGTTTAATTGCTCCTATCCATTCATATATTGTAATTGAATGAACTACAGAAAGTCTTGAAGATCGGGTACTCTTGTAAGTTTTATGTTCTGCTATGCCGGATCATTAATAACACCTCGTGTATATTATTTACTGAATAACGCTATCTTCAGTTTTCCAGGGTCAAATACAAGAAACTGAACTGAAATCAATACCTTGGCGTAAACTTTCATCTTGAAAATTCTTCTTACTTCTCGTAAATCATGTGCAGAATTAATGGTCAACTCCAGTTTCCTGCACTCCATTTTGAGTATAGACCATGAGAGAGAGAGAGAGAGAGAGAGAGAGAGAGAGAGAGACTATATATAGAGGACGAGTTTAAATATTGAGAAGACTTTTGAATTTTAATGTAGACTTATAAATAAAGAGAGAGATTCCAATTTTATGTTCCTAGCTCTTGACTTCGTGTATGGTGTAAAGACTTGTTTATTGTATAAAATATTTTATTTTTTTGTTTGGTTTGTTTATCCACGTCTAGAAAAAGATATTGGGTCATTGAAATTAAATGTGTTTTTCTTTTAGTTTGATATTCTATTTTAAACGATCTCCTTGATGTGCTTATAGTAATGATTGTCTTTTGATGAAGCAATCAGTAAGTTAAAACAATGAAGAAATTCAAATAAAAAATGATACAATTTTTTTTAATATTTATTTTTATTTTATAGGACTCTAGGGTTATACAGACTCGAACCGTAGACTTTCTCGGTAAAATAGATCAAACTTATTATTATCAAAATGATCTGAACTATTTCAAAGACCTAAAATGCATTTTTTGTGCATTGGGCTCTTCCATTAACCCGATTACCAACATGTAATTTTATTGATTTTATTCCATAAAATGTCCTACATTTTGCATATTTTCTGTTTTAGGCCTAAAAATAAATTTAAAAAAAAAACCCACAAATTTTATATATTTCTTTTTATTTCATTAATTATGTCGGTTACCAACAAATAACCCTATTATTTAACTCACGTGTGTCCTAAACATCGACAAATCATCTTCGTATCAAAACAATGGCTAAAACTACAAATAAATTTGTAATGAATAATCTTGTACCTCTCAACTATATTCTCTGTGTCATGGTTTCTTGTCATATGAGTGGATTGTTTTTATTTTAAAAGAAATATATTATGGAAGTACTAGAACGACTTGGAATGTCATCTTGCAAACATACTCCCACTATCATCGATACAATGGAAAACAGGTACCAATTACAGACAGTTCAACCTGATTATATATTGCAACCTTGTTGTAGCGCTTCAATACCTCACTTTACCCAACCGTATATCCTATATGTAGTTCATCAGATATGCTTCCAAATGTATGAACACCATGAATCTCATATGGTAGTTGTAAAGGCGTGTACCACGTTATGTTCAAAATCCTCTTGATTATGGTCTTACACTATATAATACTCCTACATGTCTTACCACATGTACTGACGTCGAGTAGGTCGTCTATCCCGATATGGATTCAAAACCTTTTTCCATATGTTGGACTTATAACCTTATTCTTCAACTTTCATTGGGATTAGTGTATGTGGTAAGACGTGTGAAATGAGTATTATAGAGTGTAATACCATAATAAAAATGCCCTTGAACATAGCGTAATACACGCCTTCATGCTATGTGGCAGCACATATGTTGAACTACATATAAGATATATGGTTGAGTGAAGGTAAGGTATTAAAGTGCTCGAGCAAGGTTGTGATAGAGAATAGGCTAGGAATAAGGTTTTCCAACATCGGTACTAACTTTTACTTTGTATTAAATCTTGTTCTAGTACTTCCATAGCATCTTTCGTTTGACATAAAAACAATCGACTCGTATGACAAGAAACCATGACACTGAGAAAATAGCTAAGAGGTCTAAGATCCTGTGCAAGTTTAACCATGATTTTGGTACGTATATGATCCGTTGATGCTTAAGACGCGCGTAAGATATAGGGATAGAGAGTTACATATTTGTAATTGATTCCATTAAAAGAATAACAATGAATATGTTAACGTTGAGTTTTATTTTTAAAGTTTTAAGTCTAAAATGGAAAAATATAAGATATTTTATGGAATAAACGCAATTTACATATTGATAACGAGCGCCAAAAATGAAATAAGGAATTGATAAAATTTGGTTTATTTTGAAAAAAAAAATGTTTTAAGTCTAACACGGAAAAAATGCAAATTGTAGGGTTTGTATGTATAGTTATATCTCACACTCGATCTCATTCTGTCAAGTGTCAGATTAGTAAATAACTATCGGTTTGTATATATAGCTACGGATACTGGTTATCGCATTTATTAATTTGGGTGAATTTCATATATATACTCTCATTAAACGTCAAAATATTATATTTACCCGGCCTAACATTTAAATATTTTAAAATATCATATTTACCCAAATATACTTTTTAATGGTTTTTAATAATTTATAATCATTTTTATAACCTTAAATCACTATATGGACAATAATACCCTTACTTCCAAATGGCTAGATATATCAAAATTTCAAATGTTTGATTTAGCTTGCCTTCTTCCTTACCATTGTAGGTTAACATTGATATTAAGTCTTCCCGAAAGGTTGATTGTTTAGTCCTTCAATACAACTCATTGCAGCTACCTGTATTTACAGGTGATGACTAAACCATGGAACGAGAATCGAAGGAAATTCGATGTGTTTTGACAGCACCATCAACACCTACAATCACAAATTCACAATCAAAATCACAATTACAGAGGTCTTGTAAGAATTAAACTGGAAAAATGGTCATAAGCTGAATTAAAAGGGAGAAATACATCTCACATCATAAATGTAGGAGCACCATAAATGTTAAATCTAACCAAAGGAAGATAGAGAGGGCAAAATTGAATAAGACCGAAGTGATTTCAAAAAAAAATCAAGAACAGAGATGGAGAGGGCAAATAGGAATAGAGCCAAAGTGAATGCTACAAAATCAAGAAAAATAATGTCTGTAACAACTCCAAATCATGGCTTTATCAAAATCCTACCCTATTTTCAATTAGTGATTTAAAATAAATCAGTCAAAAGTATGAACGGAGATAGAGAGGGCAGATAGGAATAGGACATAAGTACAATTATATAATGTGTGTGATTGCAAGAAGGAACCTGATGCATGTAATTGCAAGAAAGAATGTGCAGCAGGGAAGAATGATGAAGATTTCACTGTGCGATCATGAGGAAAAAGGGAAGGTAAAATCCAAACGTGTGAATTTTTTATATATCCTGCTATTTAGAAGTAAGGGCATTATTGTCCATTTAGTATTTTTATTCAATTATAATGATTTAAGGTTGTAAAAAATGATTATAAATTTTAAAAAAAATCATTAAAAAATAGATTTCGATGTATATGATATTTTAAAACATTAAGAAGGGCAAATATGATATTTAGATATTAGGTCGGGTAAATATGATATTTTGACGTTTAATAAGGACATATACGAAATTTTTCCTAAATAGTCTATATTAAACAAAATAAAGTACATCATCGGTCTCCATTCTAGTTTGTAACTAGTAATAAAAAAAATCTCTATTTTTTACATCTCATATAATACATAATACTACAAAGATAGTTTTATAATAACAATAATAATAATAATAAGTATTATAAAAATATAGATGTTTGTAGTTGGGATTAGGTGATTTTGCCATTCCAATTTTATTGAAGAGTATAATTGTTTGTGATTTTTTTTTTCGGACCTTTAATAGTTTAAAACGTCTATTATGGACAATTATATGCACAGAAAAAAAGACAAATTTGCCTATTTTTGTTAAGTTTTTTCAAGATTTAGACAAAAGTTATAGGATTTCCTATAGTGGCCATCAATTAGAGGATAAAGAGTGATAAATAGGCGAATTTGTAACACCCTGTTTTGTAACGTTTTTTAATTCAGGATTGTGGATTGTAATTCGATCATGTAAATGTTTTGGGCTTTGAGGAAATAAAGTTTAGAGCTTATTGAATGTTGATAATATTGGTAATGAGATCTAAGCCCTTAATTTGTGTGTTGGAACCAAAGGGTAAAATGGAAAAAGTTATATGTCGGGCTTCTTGTATGGATTATGGTTTTAGTTCGACATGTGTTAAACCAAAATAACTAGATAGAATTGTGGGGCTCGTCAATACCTTTCTGTGCATTTAAAGAATGTCGAAAAAAGAGTTGAAACGAAGTAGTTATGGTTGTTTGAAGTTGAATTGGAGATTGCGAATTTTTCCCTACGATGAGCGTAGCCCTACGTTGAGCATAGGTGTTAAATTTTGGCCGCGAGTTTAATGACCTACGCTTACGTTTAGCGTAGCCGCTGCACACCAAAACCTTAATCTTTAGGTTTTGAGCCATATTTAAGCGCTCTAACTTCTTGGGATCCTTCCATTGACCAACCTCCATCACCTCACATCGTTCCTTTGAAACCCTAGCCACCAATTGTGATTTTTGGACCTTTTAGAGTGTTTTTTGTGCTCTTTGAAGGAAATAAGTGTTTGTAGAACCAAGTGGGAAGCTTCAAGGTGTGTAAGACTGGGATTTGTGGGGCAACAATTATTTATGGAGGGTATAAAGCTTTCATCATGATGCTTGTACATGTTAGATCTAGTATGGTTGTAAGTTTTATGCTTTTGTCCCCATAATCTTGGTCCTTGTGAGTATGGGTTACTCCAGACCATTTGAATACCTCCTTCCAATGTTTTTGAGGTTATAGAGTCATAAAAATTAGAGCTTGGACACTCTCATTCAACCATGCATGAGTTCTTGAGCAAAAGGTTACAATATGGACTTAGAGTTTTGTTTTGTGATCTTCTTGGCCATGTATAAGGATAAAATCAGAGACTTATCTTTTAAGACATTCATTTAGACAGATCTGAAAGTTTGAGTGTTTGGCTTGCTGTATTAAGAGCGTAAAAGAAGTTTTTTGAAAACAGGGGCTCTACGCTGAGCGTAGTAGAAGTACACTAAGAGAAGCTCTACGCTGAGTGTAGCCTTCTGTATGCTAAGTGTAGATCTGCGTTGAACGTAGATCAATGTGTTATGTCGAGTGTAAGTCAACTAAGGGTTGACCGTTGATTTTTTAACCAGTTTGACTTTCGGTCAACCATATTAGGACTTAGTCTTGGAATGGCAAAATGGTCTTTTACCCAAAGGAGGTTTAATTGTGAGCCTAGACCTTTTGAGAGTTATTTATTACCTTATTTGTTAATTAGGATTTTATTATGTGTATATCTAGCAAGAGGAGACTTGATATCGTCGGCTCAA